AACAATAAAAAATTTTAAAAAAAATAAATGCAATCCAAAACAAAATCCTTGTAGGCTTTTTTGTGATACAGAAATTGACAAGTGGATTCTATTTTTTATTTGTATTTTAAATTTAAATTCAGCCAATTAACATATAATGTATTATTGGTTTCAAATGTAGAGGTCAGTGATTTATCAGTCTTATATAATACCTAGTGCTCATTACATAATGTGCCCTCCTTAATGTCCATCAACCAGTTATCCCATCCCCCTGCTCCCATCCCTTCCAGCAACCCTCAGGTTGTTTCCTATGATTAAGAGTCTCTTATGGTCTGTCTCCCTCTCTGATTTAGTCTTGTTTTATTTTTCCTCTCTTCCCCTATGATCCTCTGTTTCTTAAATTCCACATGAGTGAGATCATATAATAATTGTCTTTCTCCAATTGACTTATTTCGCTTAGCATAATACCCTCTAGTTCCATCCCTCTAGTTCGTTGCAAATGGCAAGATTTCATTTTTTGATGGCTGAGTAGTATTCCATTGTATATATACCACATCATCTTTATCCGTTCATCTGACAAGTAGATTCTTTTTTTTTTTTTTTTAAGATTTTATTTATTTATTTGACAGAAAGAGACACAGCGAGAGAGGGAATACAAGCAGGTGGAATGGGAGAGGGAGAAGCAGGCTTTCCACGGAGCAGGGAGCCCGATGTGGGGCTCGATCCCAGGACCCTGGGATCATGACCTGAGCTGAAGGCAGACGCTTAATGACCGAGCCACCCAGGCGCCCCCTGACAAGTAGATTCTAAAATTCATACGGAAAGGTGAAGGACTGAGACTGACCACTACAACTTTGAAAAAGAAGACAGTTGTAGGAGTACATGACCTTGATTTCAAAACAAATTATTCAACACATGAAAGTATGGAATAAAATAGATAAATGCAACAGAAGAGAGTCCAGAAATAAACATTCAGAGAAATGAATGACCTTCAATGAAGATACAAAAGCCAATTCAAAGGAGAAGGAATAATCTTTTAAATCAATATGGCAGCAGCTCTTGGGTATCCACGTTTTGTTTTAAGTAATCTGTATGCCCAGGGTGGGGACCAAACTCATGACCCTGAGATCAAGAGTCACATGCTCTACTGACTGAGCCAGCCAGGTGCCCCTGGGTATCCATATATATGTATTTTTTTAAAGAATGTCCAAAAATTAACTGAGAAAGGCACATAAACATCAGTAAAAAAACTAAAAAAAACTTACAGAAAGAAACATAGGAAAAATTATGTCTTTAAATTTGGCAAACTTTTTTTCGCAAACATTTCTTGTATACAAGATGAAAAGGATATTCAGTGAAAGAATGGACAAATTCAACTTCATTAAAATTTTAAAATTTTTTCACAAGAAAAGTGATTGAAAAGACCAAACCATGACTAGAAGAATATGTTGGCAAATATTTAAAATAGAAGACTTTCATCAATAATCCATGGACAAACGTCAAAACTCAGTAATTAAGATGACAAATCATATGAACAGAAATTTCAAAAGATATGATGGCTGGAAATTAACACATGAAAAACATCTAAACATCACATCATTAGGGAAATACAAATTAAAATCACAAGGTGCCATTACACACCTATTACACCACTGAAATTAGGAAGCCTGACCATACCAGGTGTGAGTAAGGATATAAAGAAACTGGAACTCTGGTCCTGGTTTTTCTGGTGAGAATGTAAACTGATACCAACATATTAGATTATCCCTTAGTAAGTTAGACATTCACCTACACTGTGACTCAGGAATGCACTGCTACATACTAATTACAAAGTCCTGCAGTCTTTCCCAGGATGCCTTTGGAAGCAATGCAAATGAAGCCAAAATAGGACTAAGAAATATTTTCTGACTTGGGGCACCTGGGTGGCTCAGTCGTTAAGCGTCTGCCTTCGGCTCAGGTCATGATCCCAGGGTCCTGGGATCAAGCCCCACATAGGGCTCCCTGCTCAGCGGGAACCCTGTTTCCCCCATTGGCTGCACTTATAAGCCACTCCCCCTGCTTGTGTTCCCTCTTTCGCTGTGTCTCTGTCAAATAAATAAATAAAATCTTAAACAAAAAAGAAGTATTTTCTGACTTGTACTGTGCCTCTGACATGACACTGTGACTCACAAAAGCTGTTCACCCCTTCACACTGGCAAACCACAATTCTATCCTAAACCTACCCCCAAAGTGCACATAACCTCCAAATTTCAACGTGGCTTAAACAACAAGGTGTTTGTCTACTACTAAGGACTTTCTCTACTGTGAACTTTCTGGTGCCTGATAAAGCAGTATCTTCCACTGAAATACTTTCCACATTTGCTGCACAAAAAGCCTTTTCTCCAGTGTGGACTTTGTGGTGCTGAACAAGTCTATCCTTGAGGCTGAAGGCTTTCCCACATTCATTATACTCAAAGGTTCTTCCTCCAGTTTGGATTCTCTGTGCTCAAGATTTCTTTTGTAAATGGAGGACATCCCACATCCATTACACATATTCAAGGCCTCTCTCCAGCATGAACTTTTTGGTGTTGAATGTGAGTGGATCAATGATCAGTGTCTAAAGAATTTCCCACATTCATTACATTCATATGGCTTTTCTCCAGGGTGAACTCTCTGGTGCTCATTGAATTCAAACCTTTTTATGAAGGTTTACCCACATTTGCTGCATTCATAAAACTTTTCTCTGATGTGGATTCTCTGGTGCAAAAGAAATCTTTTTTTGCGGATGAAAGATTTCCACATTTACCATGCTGAGACGGCCTTCTCCGGTGTGAACTTTCTGGTGTTTAAGGAGGGTGGAGCTGTGTCTGAAGAACTTCCCACATTGGCTGCACTCATAAGGCTTTTCTCCAGTGTGAATTCTCTGATGCTCAAGAAGTCTGCTTTTGTAGACAAAGGACTTTTCACATGTGCTGCATTTATAAAGTCTTTCTCCAGTGTGGATTCTCTGGTGTTCAAGAAGTCTCTTTTTATGGATGAAGGACTTCCCACATTCACTGCACTTATGAGGCCTTTCTCCAGTGTGAACTTTCCAGTGATGATTAAGGCTAGATTTGTGTCTCAAGAACTTCCCACATTCGTTACACTCATAAGGCTTTTCTCCAGTATGGATTCTCTGGTGCTCAAGGAGTATTCTTTTGTAGAAGAAGGACTTTTCACATTCGCTGCATTTATAAGGCCTTTCTCCAGTGTGGATTCTCTGGTGCTCAAGAAGTCTCCTTTTATGGATGAAGGACTTCCCACATTCACTGCATTTATAAGGCCTTTCTCTAGAGTGAACTTTCCAGTGATGAATAAGGCTGGGTCTGTGTCTAAAGAATTTCCCACATTCATTACACTCATGAGGCTTTCCTCCAGTGTGGATTCTCTGGTGCCTTAGAAGTATTCTTTTGTAGAAGAAAGACTTCCCACATTCACTGCACTTATAAAGCCTTTCTCCAGTGTGGATTCTCTGGTGCTCAAGAAGTCTCTTTTTATAGATGAAAGACTTCCCGCAGTCACTGCACTTATAAGGCCTTTCTCTAGTATGGATTCTCTGGTGCTCAAGAAGTCTGCTTTTATAGATGAAGGACTTCCCGCAGTCACTGCACTTATGAGGCCTTTCTCCAGTGTGAACTTTCCAGTGTTGATTAAGACTAGATTTGTACTTAAAGAACTTCCCACATTTGCTACACTCATGAGGCTTTCCTCCAGTGTGGATTCTCTGGTGCTCAAGAAGTCTTTTTTTGGAGACGAAGGATTTTTCACATTGACTGCACTTATGAAGGCTTTCTCCAGTGTAAGCACTCTGCTGCTCCATGAATTTAACCTTTTTGGGGCAGGCTTGCCCACGCGTGCTGTGCTGCTGTCGCAGAGTGTGAGAAACTGCCCTGCTCCCTCTGCCTCTGTGTGGATACTCTCCGCTGGGGATGGCCTGGTGCTGGAGAAGGCCCATGCTGCCCAGGGAATAATCCTCAACCTCTCCACAGGTGAAAATATTGTCTGACATGAGGATTTTGCTCTTCACGAACAAAGCCCCGTTCTCCTCCCTTCCAAGGTCCTTCTCTCCACGGTTCTGCTTCTGGTGCTGGTGTAAGTAAGAACTAAATGAGCACAGTTTTCCACAAGGCCCACAAGTGCATGGTTTCAGTCCAGCACATGTTCCTTCGTGCTCAGCAAGGTACAAGACGTCTTTCTCCGCTAGGATACACACATTGCAGGAATGAGCCTTTGGGATAGACAGGCCCGGGTCTGGAGTCCTGGTCTGTGACACTCCTTCCATAAAAACACATTGCTCAGAAAAAGCTTTCTCAGTTTTTACCCCATGCCAACAACCTGAGAGCAGAAAAATGCTGGTGAAGTGTATTATATGCTTTGGAAGGACAGGACAGCCCATTACAAATGTGTGTAGGACACAAACAGGACTGAGTCCATGGGTTTGTTTTCAGGACAAAGGAGCCAGGATCAGGTGAAGGAAGGGGACACTGTATAGCGCTCGGCCTCTGATGGTTACAGAACAGTGTCTGTGGGGACGGGGGCCTCACAACTAGCAAGAAAGTAGGATACAGTGCTGTGCCAGCAAGAGAGGTCTGGTACAACTCACTCCTCTGCCAGGGGTTCTCAGCAGGACCTTGTCTGCTGGTGACAAGTGTGTGCTGTGTAGAATGTGTGTCCCACTCCAGGAAAAAGCAATTGCCTTTTAGCTGGTGGTCAACCATTTAGGGCTGTGTGCACACATCTCATGACACACAGAGTATAGGTTAATGTTGCAGAACATTGCAGAAAGACAGAAAGGGGAAAGATGTGAGGGACATAGATGTAGGGGATAGCCAGGGACTAGAAGTCACAGCAGAAATGACAAGTGGGCAGGGCGCCTGGGTGGCTCAGTTGGTTAAGCGACTGCCTTCGGCTCAGGTCATGATCCTGGAGTCCCGGGATCGAGTCCCGCATCAGGCTCCCTGCTCTGCGGGGAGCCTGCTTCTCCCTCTGCCTCTGTCTCTCTCTCTCTCTCTGTCTCTCATGAATAAATAAATAAAATCTTTAAAAAAAAAAAAAAAAAAGAAATGACAAGTGGGCAAAATGTCAAGGATAGGGAGGAAGGATTGAAATGAGGTATGGCCACGAGCCTTGGCACTAACATAGTAGTGAGCAAAGGATGGTTTCCTGGTATGATTTATACTCAGTCTTGAAATCATGCCTTCCCACTGCTCCTACTCACCAGGCCCAGGATTCCATTAATCCCCCTTCCTATGGTTAGAGAGGTGTCTGAGCTATCAGGCACCCAGGGTTCTCCTCTACCCCTCAGCTCAACCTAGGCAATTTTCTGGGACCTAGCAGATTGAAGTCCTCAAGAGAAAACAGGGCAGTTAAGAGGACGACACTGGTCCAGAGTGACCCAACCACTGATAGACTACAGGAAAGAAGTTTATTACTAGGAAGATTTTGAGGACAGTCTTGCAAAAATAATTTAGGGTAGCCTGCAAATACTGACCATGTCGTTGTCTATAATTCCCGAGACAGGTAGTACACAAAACAGAAGGGGCAGAACCTGTGACACAGATCTTCCACAAATGGGAACAGTCAGCAAAGTAAGGAGGGGCAAAGCTATTTAGAATTGATCAGGCAGGTCCAAGACTCAGAAACCAAACCCTTCTGCGAGAGGCTTCGAGGCAGAATATGTTGGGGTTTCAGAAAGCCCAGGCCCAGCAAACACAACACGTATGCCAAGAAACCAGGAAAGGAAGCAATGCCCATGGCCCAGCTCTGGGAAGGACAGAGACCCTTGGAAAAAGGAGAAGAGCAGAGCCTCATATAAGGCAGTGGTGTGGGAATGAGGCTCCTTACCCAGGGAGGCCATCAGTGCCAAGTTCTCCAGCATCACGGTGCGGTACAGACATCTCTGAGCCTCGTCAAGGAGCCCCCACTCCTCCCGGGAGAAGTACACGGCCACATCCTCAAAGGTCACATGGCCCTGTCATGACGAGGGCAGAGCAATGCATAAGCAGCCTCTCTAACCAAGACCCTCGGGCCATGGCCCCCCTCCCCAGCTCCCCAACTCAGAGGAGATGCAGGTCCTGCTCCACGGGTACCCACTCTTCCTCGTGTCAAACTCCTCCCTGTTGCCAGTCATCAGTAGGAACAGATGGGGAGAGAGGCAGTCTTACCTGCGCTCTAGGCTGGTGCATAGAGTCCCTGGCACTCTCTTCACAGTCAGCTCTCCTGGGGTCATACTGATCATGCCCCATATGTCACTTACGCTCAGCCTTCTGGCTTAAGCCCTGAGTACAAGGACACTGAGTGCATCCTCACTCCCTCCGCATCTGCACAGCACAATGGGGTCACCCCTCTCTCGTGTGCCAGGCCACGACCACTCATCCGTGACACCACTGCCACCTCTCGTCCTTGTCCCAGGCATCTCTCTGGTCTCCCCATATGTCATTCTGCATGTGGCACCTGGGCAGTGTTTGCCAAAGGCAACAGGATCCAGGGCTGCCCCAGGGCCTCTGATGGACCCTCCTCCCAGAGGCAGTCCTAGCACTGAGGACCGCCCCACAGGGTCTGGCTCTGTTTTCCAACTTCAGCTACCCTAGCCTGTGTAGGAGTCGGACCCCCCAAACCCTCCTCCTCAGTGTTGCTTGTGCTGTCCCCACACCAATCACACCTTTCCTCTCTCCACCTCCTCTCAATCAAAGCCCAGCCCCACTTCTCCTACCACAGCCCAAGAGACTCTCAGCTGACCTTTTCCCTTAAGCTAATCTGTCATCCCATCTGACACGCTTCAGGTTCCAGCAAGAGCTGTCACAAAACTGAACCTGTGGAGGGAAAAAAGTACCACGACTTACACAGTGTCATCTGATCTCCATCACTGCTCTGCCTTTCGGTAAATCTTGCATCCAGCCCCTGGGAATCCTGTGCCACCACGTGGACCCCCACCTGAGGCTTGTTCCCGCACAGCCCCCCCCCCACACACTCAGGTCACCGTACTTCCTCATCTTAGTGATGACAGCCATCCCTACCCAGATGCCAAGTCAAGTGCGCCAGTCCACGGGGAATATCCTCCCCATCCTTCCCCTGTAACGGCATTGCCTCCATGACCTGCAGAGTGCACCCTCTTAAATGTGACATGGTCTACATGCCCGCCACCGCTGAGGGGTGTCTTCAAACCTGAACCCCTTCCCTGAAATCCAGGTGTTTCTAGATGCCCACCTGCCACCTCCACTCAGAGGTCCTTGCAGTATCTCAGACACAACATGGCACAAACCTAACTCCTCCTCAGAGTGCTGCTGTTAAGTACTCCTGCTATGGACTTTCCATCTCAGCAACGGCACTTTCACACTTCCAGCTAAAGCCAAACATCCTGGAGTAATCCTAGATTCTCTCTCACCCTGTACAGCGGAAAATCATCCCTACTTACAAAATAAGCTAGAAACAAAACAGTCGGGTGCCTGGGTGGCTCAGATGGTTAAGCGTCTGCCTTCGGCTCAGGTCATGATCTCAGGGTCCCGGGATCGAGTCCCGCATCAGGCTCCCTGCTCCTTGGGAGCCTGCTTCTCGCTCTGCCTCTCTCTCTCTCTCATGAATAAATAAATAAAATCTTTTAAAAAAGAAAAAAAAAAGAAACAAAACAGTCTTCTCCAACTATGGAGCCAGTGCTATGATCCAGCTACCATTAACCTTCACCAGAACTGCAGCCTCCACTGGGGTCTCTCTGCCTCCACCCTCACCCCCACAATCTGTCCTTCACTCTGCAGGCAGAGTAGCCGGATTAGACCTGAGTCAGATCACTTCCCTTCCCTGCTCCAAACCTTCCATGGACCCACTGCCCTCAGCAGACCCAGTTCCTCAGGCTGCTACTTGAGGACTGACTCTTGCCCCTCAATCTCTGTTCCCAGATTTAATGTAGTCCTGCAGTTCACTGAACACTCCCATGTGGACCTTAGGTTCACCTTAGGGACTAGAGAAATGGGACACCTCAACACAACTTCTGGCCTTGATTAAGGACCCTGCACCTAAAATGACCCCAGGGCTCAGAACAAAGGGCCTGAGGATGTCACTATCTCTTTTACCTATGTGCCAGGACCATGGGATGGGGATCAGGGCCAGTGAGCACAACCTCCCAGCACTTCTATTATTTCAATGTGTTCACCATCCTGGAGGCTCCCTGAATCTCACAGCTCAACAATTTTTATACCTCCAGCTCTTCTCCCATCTGGGAGAGGCGGGGGGGGGTAGCTAAAAGTGAAATGTCTTTAAAACAAAAAACAAAAACATTTATCTATTTTTAAGTAATCTCTATACCCAATGTGGGGCTCAAACTCACGACCCCAAGATCAAGAGTCTCATGCTCTTCCATCTGAGACCAGGCACCCCAAAAGTTTAAAGTTCTAATCACCTGGTCTTTCTGGTGACCAGCCCCAACTTGAGGCTATCTAGGAGCCGCACCCCAAGTCACTTCATTAGAATAAACTTCTGTGTGATAAAAGGAGACAGTTATGATTACAAAAACCACTCCTAACACCCAGGAAATTCCAAGGGTTTTAGGAGATCTATGGCAAGAGTCCATGACAAAACTCCAAATACATATATACATACATTTTGTCACAGAGGTATATTGCTATTCCAATCAATTATTACTTGCTTGCATACGTTCAACTGGCTGAAGTTATACCGTTTTGAACTTGTACTTCCTGGGAGAGCTGAGGCACCTATGAGACAGACGTTCATGAACCTGGGCTGCTCCACCAGCCAGGCTGGCCCTTCCCTGGCTCCACAGAGAGTAGACAGTCGCTGAGTCTTCAGAGCAGAGACTCTCACATGCCCTCACACCTCCCCTTCCATTTTCATCCCAGCAGGGCTCCTTACTCATTACACCTTCCTCTCCCCCACCACCTTAAAGCCCTGGACCACAGGACCCTCCCATCTGCAGGCTCTCTTGCCTGCCCTCCAGCCCCAGCCCTCTCTTCCTTCATCTCGGGGCCTATCTCAAAGAAGTGTTCGGATCTTTCCATTCTAAATCTGAGATGCAGGCTTGGTCCTGGTCCAGGACTTAGGCTATTACTGTACGGACATCACTGAGCCAGCTTCCGCTGAGTCCAGAGCAGAGATTCCAGCTGCCTGTATGTCACCTCTACTTTGGGAGCTCGGAAACAGTAAGTCCAAAATCCAACTCCTAAACTCTCCCTGAAACCTGCTCCTCACACCAGTTTCCTCGTCTCAGCGCGTCCAGATATTCAGGCAGAAGAAAGACTGGACAGTCTTTGATCCTGTCCTTCTGCTCACAGCCACACTCGCTGCAGCAGGAAATCTTCCGGTTTTATCTTTAAGATGATCAGGAATCTTACTACTTATATTCCTCTTACAGCCACTGCTCCAGAGGTCCAGAAACCAGCATTACTGTTTCGAGTCTTCTGCAGCAGCCTCCCTGGCTCCCAAAGCCCGTTCTCCCCTGAGCAGCCTTCGAAAGACTGTACAACTCCAACCCAGCCCCGTCCCTCTCCCACGCACAACCCTCCAAGGCCCCCCGCGCCCTCTCCCTGACCGCCCAGCGGCTCCCTGCCGACGCCAGTCGGACCCCCGCTCTCCCGGAGGCTCCCGGCACACGCGCGCCCCCACGGGGGGCCAGAAATGGGCCCCCGCCCACGAACGCCCCAGGTTCTGGGGACCTGGGCCTGGACTGCACTGTCCTAGGCAGGAGACCCACCCCCTTGGGGTTCGGACAGAACACCCTCTCACCTGGGCCGGGTACTTCAGCCTGGCCGTCACCATAGTAATCTGCGGGTTCAACCGGGCCAGGGGACGCGCGATAATGGCGGAGACCGGCAGGAGGCCCCGAAAGCGGCTCCCCGCAGCCGTGCTCACACCGAACCTCAGACCCGCTCCCGTGCGGAGCACACGTGTCTTCTCTTGCTCCTCTAGGTTCTAGTTCCCTCCGGCGGACTACGCAGGGACTACGAGACCAGGACCAGAATCAGCGCCTCCACGAGGACCAGGCGGGAAGCCCCGCCCCCTGGCCTTTCGCCCTCTTGGAAACGCCCCGGTGTGCGCCCTCATTGGCCAGCGTGATCCGGAAGCTGGGAGCACAGCCTTCTGGGTAGCGTAGTTCCTCTAATCCGGGGCTTGCGGGGTAAGAGCCTCTCCCCCTCGCCTGCACATTGAGGGCCGGGCGGCCCCTATGAAAGGACAAATTAAAAACCCACCAAATTAGAGTCAGCAAAACCTGTTAACCTTAAAACAAAACTTCCAGTTATTTCACCAGCCAAAGATGGGCTTATTTCGGAATAAAAGAGAATTGTAATCCAGGACGAACAAACTACGCAAAGCCGTAGGCAAAGGACAAAGAAGAGGTACCCACTGTTATGGAGAAAAGAGGTAAGTTGGGAAGGCTGTTATAAACTAAAAGTCCATTGGAATAAAGTGGGAGTTCGAAGTAGAGTGGCTTCTCATTGGCTGAGTTGCTGAGTTGGGGAATAAGCAAAGTTTCCTTTATCCAGCTGGATAGTAAAGTAGTATCCATTTGGTAGGTCAGGTGTATCTCTTCCTGTTGGGTCTGCAATTGGCTGTAAGTGGTAGTGCATGAGAACTCCCTTGCCGAAACCTCCTCGCTACATTTTAGTGAGGTTTCAGTTACTAATTTTCATATATATGTGTGTGAAGGTGAATTCACTTAGCTGTAAATCAGCAGATGTGATTTAAAAAGAGATCTTAGTGACTGAACGTGGATTGGTTTAGAAGGATCTTCAGCTGGTGAAGCGGGGTTACCTGTCTGGGCTAGGGAGGGGAAAAGGAACAGAGGAGGGGGTGTCAGAGTGGATAGCCACCTGACATTTACACAGAATTGATTTCTTAAAAAACTTAGTGAAATTTATAGTTATTAAATTTAAATTTTTATAATTTTTAAAACACCACTTAATATTGAAAAGAGAAATTTGGGACATAACTAATAGAATAAAAATATGTAACAGAGAGGCGCCTGGGTGGCTCAGTCAGTTAAGCATCCAACTCTTGATCTCAGCTCAGGTCTTGATTTCGGGGTTGTGAGTTTAAGCTACCTGTTGGGCTCTGAGCTGGGCATGGAGCCTACTTAAAAAAAAATATGTAATAGACCTAGAACAGTGAAGTAAACTAACAAAAAAGGAAAGATTTGTGATCTTTTGGAAGAGACATCATAAAATAAATTTAAATCTTTTTTAAAAATAAATTTAAATCTAAAACACTTAGGTAAGAAGACGTAGTGTGGGAATTAATAAAATTTGCTCATATAAAAGCCCACATCAGAATCTTATAAATCTGAAATTGCTGTGGTTACTGATCATCCAGGCCTTAAAGACTTCATAAATATAAAGACAATAAAAGATCATGATATTCCCATAATCATAGAGTGTTGGGCAATAAAGGGAGGATCCGAATTAAGTAACTCCTGCTCTTAGAAAGGGGGACATGGGGGCACCTGGGTGGCTCAGATGGTTAAGTGTCTGCCTTCGGCTCAGGTCATGATCTCAGGGTCCTGGGATCGAGCCCCACATCGGGCTCCCTGCTCCGTGCGGAGCCTGCTTCTCCCTCTCCCTCTACTGTTCCCCCTGCTTGTGCTGTCTTGCTCTCTCTGTCAAGTAAATAAATAAAATCTTAAAAAAAAGAAAGAAAGAAAGAAAGGGGGACATGAACTTCCCCATCAAATGAATTCTCCAAGGGAGCCTAGCTGGCTCAGTTGGTTAAGCATCTGCCTTCAGCACAGATCATGATTCCAGGGTCCTGGGAATGAGTCCTGCGTTGGGCTCCCTTTTCAGTGGGAAGTCTGCTTCTCCCTCTCCCTCTCCCTTTACCCCTCCCCCCGCTCATGCTCTCTCTCTTGCTCTTTCTCTCTCAAATAAATAAATAAAATATTTTTCAAAAGAAGATACAAAAATTATTTTAATATAAAAGTTTGTAGTAATTTTCTATAAAAGATTAATGCAAGTCATAAATTTAAAATAAGAAAACAGTGTCTTATTGGCATAATGGCATGGAATTCAAGTTCAAACCTAGCAGAGTAAATTATAAAGGTTATAAAAAAGCACTCACATATATAGATTCCTCCTGCAAGACTGGGCTATGTTAGTGCTACAGAACATTGGAAAATGGCTGCTTAAAAAATTGTTCAGGGGAAATAAGGTATCCAACTGGTTAAACTCAAATTTTCATCTCTGCTCTTAATCATACAGAAAAATTAATTTCAGATAAAGAAGGCTTAACAGGAAAAAAAAATATGTAACTCTTAACAAGATCGTGGAAGAAAATATATTTGTGAAATGATAAAGCAGGATCTCTCAAGCCAAATATAAAAATTATCAAAACTTATACACAGGGGCACCTGGGTGGCTCAGTCGTTAAGCATCTACCTTTGGCTCAGGTCATGATCCCAGGGTCCTGGGATCAAGCCCCACATTGGGCTCCTTGCTCAGCGGGAAGCCTGCTTCTCCCTCTCCCACTCCCCCTGCTTGTGTTCCCTCTCTCGCTGCCTCTCTCTGTCAAATAAATAAATCTTTAAAAAAAAAAAACATATACACAAACTATATGAAAATAGCAGGTTTCTATTATCAAAAAACCCATAAAAATTGAAATAACAAGAACACAAGTGAGAAAATATTTGAGTCATCTATAATTTTTAGAGTTAATATATAAATAATAAATACATTTAATAAGTCCTACAAATTAACAAGAGAAAGATTTAAAACCAGAGACTGCAAAGCTCCTGCATACCATTTTAGATTAGAATTACAAAAGGCAAACAATAATTTTTAAAAAATAATCTTATTGGCACTCAGGAAAATGCAAAGGACATTTGCCTGGTATGATTTGTACTCAGTCCTGAAATCATACCTTCTCACAGCTCCTACTCACCAGACCCAGGACTCCATTAATCTTTGGAGATTTGTCCACTCTGTCAGGCACCCAGAGCTCCCCTCCAGCCCCTGGCTCAAGTTGGGTGACTAAATGGGACCTAGAAGATGGAAGTTCGAAGGGGAAAACACAGCAGTTGAGTAGACAACACCAGCCCAGGGTGTCTCAACCCATGACACCACTGAACAAAACTGATCACACAAAGAACCTTGAAGGGGAGGCTTACCGTAACAGCCTAGTGCTCTGTGCCGATCATGACCACTTACGTGCCTGTAATTCCTGAGACAGGCAAGGTCCAAGCAATATCTAATAAAGGCAGGGGCAGAAATTGTGACACATCTGCAACAGATGTGAACAGTCACCTTACCAAGGAGGTGCAAAGCCAAATGCAGTGGCAGGACAGGCTACAAGACTCAGAAACCAAACCCTTCTGCGAGAGGCTTCGAGGCAGAATATGTTGGGGTTTCAGAAAGCCCAGGCCCAGCAAACACAACACGTACGCCAAGAAACCAGGAAAGGAAGCAATGCCCATGGCCCAGCTCTGGGAAGGACAGAGACCCTTGGAAAAAGGAGAAGAGCAGAGCCTCATATAAGGCAGTGGTGTGGGAATGAGGCTCCTTACCCAGGGAGGCCATCAGTGCCAAGTTCTCCAGCATCACGGTGCGGTACAGACATCTCTGAGCCTCGTCAAGGAGCCCCCACTCCTCCCGGGAGAAGTACACGGCCACATCCTCAAAGGTCACATGGCCCTGTCATGATGAGGGCAGAGCAATGCATAAGCAGCCTCTCTAACCAAGACCCTCGGGCCATGGCCCCCCTCCCCAACTCCCCAACTCAGAGGAGATGCAGGTCCTGCTCCACGGGTACCCACTCTTCCTCGTGTCAAACTCCTCCCTGCTGCCAGTCATCAGTAGGAACAGATGGGGAGAGAGGTTGTCATCTCCTTTCTAGACTTGGCATACAGAGTGCCACCACTCTCCTGACAGTCAACTGCCCTGGAGTTCCTCGGATCGTGCCACACACAGCCAAACTTGTACTCACCCTCTGCTCAAATGCTGAGGACAAAGACCCTGAGTAATTCATTCGTACTCTGTCCCCATTTGCACATCACTCTTGGGACTGCACCTGCTCTCCCTTCATATCGTGGCTGCTAGATCCCCAACACCACAGCCACTTTCTAGCCCATGTCACAGGCATCTCTGCCTTCCCCCCACGCCACTCTGCCCGTGGCACCCGGGCAGTGCTTGCCAAACGCAACACATCCGGGGCTACCCCAGGCCTCTGATGGACCCTCCTGCCAGAGGCAGTCCCAGCGCTGCTCTGAGGCCCGCCCCAGCAGGCCTGGCTCCTTGTTGCATCTTCAGCCATCCAGACCTTCCATGGATCTCAGGTAGCTTAAACCCCTCTTCCTTTTCAGTGTTGCATGTGCTTTACCTACCCCAATAACATCTTTTCTCGCCACCTGCACTCATTCAAAGTCCAGCCTCATCTGCTCCCATCACATGCCAATGACTCTCCCAGCAAGTATCATTTGCTCCCAAACTAATCTGTCAGCTTGTCTGAAATTCCTCTGGCTCCACCAAGAGTTATCCAAAAAAAAAAAAAACCTGAGCCTGGAGATGGAAGAAAAAGCACCAATCCTGGCCTCTGCATCATCTGACTCCCATTATTGCCTTGACTCTGAACAGATCTCACAACCACTTCCCCTTGGAAGCCTCTGCTAGCAGCCGGCACTCTCCCCTCTCACTACCACACACCCATGGTCAGTACTCTCCAGCTTCTGTTAATGAAGACTGCCACCACTATCCGGGTGCCCAAGCAAGACACCCAGTCCTTGGAGAATACCCTCCCCATTCTTCCCCCTAATGGCACTGCCACCATAACCTGAAGAGGCCTCCTCTGAAGTACGACATATTCCATATGCCACCTACCTACTCACAGATATTGTCAACCTCAATCCCTCCTTTAAATTCCACATGTGTTTCTAACTGCCAACCTGACACCTCCTCTCAGGGGTCCCCGGAATATCTCAGACCCAACGTGGGAAAAACCTAACTCCATATGGTGCTTCTGTTAAGTACTCCCACTACTGACTTTCCATCTCAGTACCCGGTGCTTCCACGCTTCAACTGCTAAGGACAAACATCTTGGGGTCATAACTGACTTTGTTCTCTCATCCCACATAGCAGAAAATTGTCCCTGCTAATAAAACAGATTGAGAAACCAACCTCTTCTCCCAACTTCAAAGCCATTGCTATGATCCAGCTACCATCAACCCTCCCCTGGACTGTTGTAGTAGCTTCCCCTGGAGTCTCCTGATCACCTCAGGCTGCCATTCCAGGACTGACTTCTGCCCCCATCCCTCAGTTTTCTGTGCCCAGCAGACATAATAGAGACCTACAGTTCATTCCCAACTCATTGTCATCGCTAAGCATCTGAACACACTGGTTCCTGTGGCCAGGTAACCTTTCATTTCCTCATACTACTGGTTG